GGCGTGCTCTGGTCCATGGGGTCACGAAGAGTCGGACACGACTAAACGACTAAACGAACGAACGAACGATCCTTCCAATATTCTGGATCAGAGTCTGGAATGTTACATTTTAAAGGGAACTCAGGTTCTCCTTATTGTTTCATGGCAGCTGGGCTGGCTCTCTAATTGCACAGCTAATTCATTGTGTTGCATTGGTCTTGCCAACTTGCCAGAAAAATACTGCAGGAATGCTCTCTACTTCTCTCTAGTGGTTAATTATGGTTTTGCACCTTGAAAGTATTTTAAAAAAATACAAAAGGCAAAATCAAGAAATGCCTCTCTATATAGGAATTATTTTATTTTTAAAATTTATATTATTTATCTGTTGCCTTTTCCCTCATAGGGAGCCCAAGACAGCTCACAACAACTAAAGCTTTAAAACAATCAACAGTTTTAAAATACCATAGGAATATGTTTAACAACAATTAAATATATATCATAATTTTTTAAAAGATTAAAAACACTTTTAATTTTTTTTTTGAAAAATATGTAAGTTAAGAAACAACACATTACTGAGACATTTATTGCTTTAAAGACTGCTTGAAGAGAAAAGTCTTTGTCTGATGACAGAATGAGAAGAGAAAGTGGGCCAACGTGGCTTCTTGGGGCAGGGTGTGACGAAGCCTGGGAGCAACCACCAGGAAGGCCTTCTCTTGTGTCCTTGCCAAACAAGCTTGGGAAGGTCATGGAACTGAGAGAACGGCCTTCCCAGAAGATTTTAAGAGTTGAGAAAGCTCATATGAAGTGATACAATCCTTCAAATGGCCAGAACCCAAGCCATATAGGGCTTTCTAGGTTACAACCAGGACTTTGAATTTGGCTAAGAAGGAGACTGGCAGTCACTCTGGGGTACATTGTAGAGTATAGTGAGTTTGCACAAAATAGAGACAGAGAATCCAACAGCCTAGTCCGTTGCTAGATGCCCACATGAATTGCGTGTAGAATGTATGCACAATGTCCAGAGCCATAGTAAACAACATTAGGACAATTTGCAATTTCTTTGTGAACAAATCCTTTTGGAAAGAGTGACTCGAAAGCTGAAACCTACATTGCTTTGATGGTAGGGCCGGCCTTAGGTCCAGCTGTCAGCCATGTAGATTTGAGGATTCTAGGAGTTGTCGTCCAAGGAAGCTACTTTTCCATCTTTGGTTCTGTTGCTCTTCACATCTGGATCAAGAGGACGAGATTCATACTAGGGTAAGGGTTTTGCCACAGTTCACATAGGGAAGGGGGTGTTTACAGACCTATATAAACCATGGGAATGAGGGATGCCATGGAGTTTAGTAGGGAGCTGTGGCATTGTATTCCAGGGGGACAATTTTGAAAGACCAGAAACCTAGAAACTGTTGACCTGGGGCAATGCTATCCACGACATATCTGCAGTCTTATATTAAAATAAAATATGTGAAATACTATACATTTTGCATATAATTTTAGACCTCTCATTAATATTTTGGCTTCCATCTACTTATGGGAGTCTTAATTTCATTCAGCTCCATTATTGTTTTCCTGGCTCTCCCTCTGTGTATGTGTATGTTGGGGGGGGGGGAAGAGAGAATTTCTAAAAGAAGGGAAGAGAGTATTTCTACAAGAAAGTTCACACCAAGGTACCAAACATGTGGTCATCCAGATGTCCCTGACCACTGGCTACATAGGCTAGAACTGATGGAATTGAAGTCCAACAATATCCAGAGGGTCACAAAGGACTCATGCATAGTCAAGCATCTTTGTTCTCCTTCAGCTGCCTCTCATCATGGCTTTTAATTATACATTGCCACATAGTGGAAATGTGTAGTACATATTTGGTTGTATTTTCAAGACGAATCAAGTACCTTAAACAAAACATGCTCTCTCTCTCAGAATTGTAGTGGAAGAAAACAGGATAAAAGAGACAAAACACAAGGAAAAGCAAGTGTCATATCAGTGGCAAAATTTGCTTCCAAACTTAGGTTTCATCAAGTGTACTTTTTGGAGGCATAAGTGACTGGACTCTCCTCGTGGCTGCCATTTACAATTTTCCAGCTTCATGAGTTCCAGGTGGGGCAGGGTTTGAAATGAACAAAGAAGATGAGTTCAAGACCCTGCTATGGATTTTGCCAGTTTTGTCCTGTGCTCCCATTGCCAATCCTGTCTAACAGAGACAAGAATGAATGGTCCTATCCAGTTGACCTGGCTTCTCCGGATTCCCTCCTGCCAATAGTGGTTATGGTAGGAGCTTCCACCCTTCTGGGAGTAATGGTTCCTCAAAAATAGATCTTGCCAGCTGCACTCTTCTCATTTCATGTGGTTTGGCATCTAAAGAAGGAAAGAAGGAACCATCTTCAAAGACATGTTGCTGGTCAAAGCAGAGCAACAAATGGGAATCACCTCTTTGCAGCAAAGTGTCACTAGCTCCTGAAAGCTAGTAAGTTGTTGTGGCAAATAAGACAGAAAATCCTGAGTTCTCATTATTCCTGCCACTAAAATATGAATTAAATGAAATAAATTAAATTATCACAAATTGCTAATCTTTCATGGCATTCAAAATCTACTGCTTGCCTGGAAGATAGCTACCTCACTCTGCCTCACAGTAGGGCCAGCCCTCAAATTAGCTGAATAGCTTGTATACTCTTTGGAATTTGTGTGAGTGTGTGTGTGTGTGTCTAACGATTCAGCATGTTTCATGTAGGAGATGAAGGCCAATCTGGGTGGTGGAACACAGCATTATCCTTTGGCCAGAGGTCATGGAATCTCCCAGGGTGAGTTTTTGCTTTTCCAGAGGGAGGTTGTTTCTTGGGTTAGAGTGTTAATAGTATAGAGATGAAATTGCATGAGACGGTGGCTTGACAGGTGTTCCAGACTACTCCTTTATCTGTCCCTTTGCATTTTTCCTTCTTCAGTGCTACTGAAAGGCAGTACTGGGACTTGGTGGTAGTGGTGGTGGTGGGTCTCCAAAATTTCAGAAGGTCTCTGCTCCACCTACTCCCAAGGTGACTATGGCCAGCGGACTTGAAACGTGAAACATCAGAACATAGTCATAGTCTTTCAGAGGTGAACCACAGCATGTTTTAAGTGAATAGGGACTACTGAGGTGGAACATACCAAATAATGTTGATGCAGATCCTGCTCAAGGAGCAAATTGTATCTGGCAACAGTCAGACAAGAAAAATAAAATTAAAGGATATGCAATTCAGCAGTAGGTCTTATGGTCAGTCTCTACATGAGTCCTCCCCACTATGGTTCCCTCTGGGTGTACTGAACTGCACGTCCTGTCATTCACACCCATGTGGGCAATCATCATCATCTTAGAACATCATTAAGTCCAGCCCCTGTCAAGAAGGAACAGTGGGGAATGAAAGCTCCCAGCCTCTGGCCCTGCGGCCAGATATCTAAACCACTGAGCTATCCAGCAGTTCTAAATGAGTTGCATTCCAATATATGTGGAAAGCAGCAAAATGAGAAGGATTATTCTGCTTAAATGTTTTCAGATTGCCAGAGCTGTTGCTTCAAAATATACTTTGTTGACATGGCTCTAAGGCCTTAATCCTATTGGAGAAAAACATAAATGGAACAGTAATTGTACAAGTGGCCCATGTTCCCTCCCTTTCCTTGTGGTTGATTAAAGGTATCACCTACTCTTGCATTTATATTGTTTGCATGACCATGAGGCCTTTACCTGATTTTTCCCTTTCCCGGGCTTTTTGTTGCACAACTACTTGCACACTGGTGGTAACAATAACCCACAACCATATTTCATAACCAACGTGTAACTGGTCACACAATGAACACTTTGCCAAAGTGGGGAAACACTTCTGTGATTCTAATTGCAAACATTTTATCCCAGAGGTATTCTGGGCCTTGCATTTATACTAGAATTGGACAGCCCAGGAGTTTTATAATGTCTGCCAATCACAGGGGTTGATGAGTAGTGCCCCTGATTCTTTTTTGCACCTCACATCTTAAATGTTGTGCACACTTACATCTTAAATATTCATGGTATACAAATTTAGATTATATAGGCTGGAAACAAATGTCAAAGACAGCCTGGAAATATTGCTGACAGCTTATTAATGTTGCAGAGAGGTGATTGAGGCAGCCTTTCCTTGTTTGTGCAGGGGTTGATGAGTAGTGCCCCTGATTCTTTTTTGCACCTCACATCTTAAATGTTGTGCACACTTACATCTTAAATATTCATGGTATACAAATTTAGATTATATAGGCTGGAAACAAATGTCAAAGACAGCCTGGAAATATTGCTGACAGCTTATTAATGTTGCAGAGAGGTGACTGAGGCAGCCTTTCCTTGTTTGTAAAATCAGATTTCAAGGAAATCCTGTGTTGAAGTCCTGGAGACCAATCATCAATCAAAGCAAGTTAATTTGCATAACCCCTGGGGCGAGAGGAACTGCAGCTGTGACACAGACGCTGTTTCTCATCCCTTAATGATTCTTCTCTTCCAGTTATGAGCTATGTCTAACATCTGCTTCTGGCCATAGTCACAGGCTTTAGGGCTCAAACTCTGGATCTCTGACTCCAGAGATCATGTAGGGGAGTTTCAAGAAAAGGTATAGATGGACTAGCACCATGGTGCTTGAATAGAAGATTGCTGGGGGAGCAGAGACATAGGCCACATCTGCATGCTCGTATGTAAATACGAGCCAAAATCCTTTAGAATTCTATCTTGTTGAAGATGTACACACGTTGCTTGGTCACTCTTTATTCAAGTCGGTGCAGCTAAATCAACCACAGACCTTCCTTAAATGGTTTGCAAATTGTGGCCTTTTTCAAGGTAATCCTTGGCTAAAAGTAGAGACCTTCTTCCCCTCTCACCCCTGCATTTCACAAATGGGTATCCTGAAGTTAACACTTGCCAGCATCTCTGTATGGTGTGTATCTTTCAGTCGTTCCTTCTGGCTGGCTCACCGGGGAGCGTATCACCTGAATAAGAGAAGGAGAATGGAGGGAGTTTCCCCAGGGAAGGCAGCCCACTATCAGAGGCGTGAGGACAGTGGACCAAGTGAGTGCATGCAGTGGCATCTTCAGAGCAGGGGTGATGTAATCAGAGCTTGGAAAAAAACAGTAGAAACAAAATATTCAATCAAGCTACAATATGTTGAAACAAAATATGTGAATGTAACAAAATGCATATAAGTTAAAATATACAAAACAAACAAAATATACAAAGAGCAACAGATATCTATCCATTATATAAAATCATATTTCAACCAAGAAGAATAGATCATAGGGTTACTCAATAGACATAATACCATTATATAAAATTAGCTAATCACATCCTATGAAGTGCCTGGGAGTAGAGAAAGGCCTTAACCTGCTGCTGAAAGGATGATCAGGCCAGAACCAGGTAGGCAATGTTGTGGAGAACATTTCATAGATGGGGAACTGCCACCAAAAAGGCCCCGTCCTTCATCATGGCCCTCTAGGATGGCTTTGGAGAAGGTTCTACAAGGAGGGCTTCATATGTTGTTCTCAAAGTATGGACAATCTAATGAGGATGTTTGGTTAAGTATTTGGATCGTAAGCTCTGTAAACCTTTAATTAGTTGAAAATTTCAGTTGTGCCTGGGATTACTGCAGCAGACAATGCAGCTGTCCAGAATATATGGTATACCATAAGAGGGATCTCCTCCCCCTCATTAATCTGGCCTACTGACCTGATTTCCAGGTGGATTGCTAGAAGGTTTACAGCAAAATAAGATACATGAGGTACTTTGGAAAATCTAGATGTTTTACAGAATTAGTTTGGTGACATTTTCAGAAATGAACTGCGTGGGAGAGATTGGGAGAAATTCCTAATATATGCAGCCAAAAGCAACTCAGCCTAGCAAAGAATAGGAAAGAATGCCCTGAGAAGCAGCCCAAAGGATCTGTGCCAAGGTATTTTGAGAATTCAGGGCCTGTGTAAATTATAGAAATTATTTGTGGGAAATCCACAATATGCTTCAATTTTTTCTTTACATCTGAAAAATATTGAAACCTTCATTTGTACAAATAAGAAGCGAGCTATCCATAATATACAGCTCATGTACAAAAGCTCTGAGGGAAGGCTTTTGTGTAAGCCGAGAAAAGCTGGAGGTTAGCTTTGGATAGTAGAACCAGACTTGACAGTGTGATATGGAAGCACCCTCTTCTTCAAATTCAAGCTCTTATCCTCCCCCATATAAGGGGAAACCTAAGCCATGCAGAACATGGGCATTGGCAGACCAACTGAGGCATCTGTCTCTTAGCCTGGGGAAGCTGGCTGATACCTGTTAGTTTCCATCTTGCGTCTAGATCTGAGCACTTTCCCACTTTTATCAGGCCATCAGTCACTCACAAGGACTTTTGCTTTCAGCTTCTCCTTGACTACTTCACTATTGATGATAAATAAAGGTTCTGTTTGCAGTGAAGACACAAACCTCTTGAGTCTAAACCCTTGCTGTTCAATTCTGGTTCAAAGCAGTTGCTTTGGCTATTGATGGCATGTGTGAGTGAATGAATGTGAAGAGAGATGGAGTTTACTTTGCACAAAACAGGACAATTCCTTAAAGACAATTATATGAACCACCCAGGTTTCCTGATCAACATCACAGTTTCTTTTGTGCCACTTGTATGCATAGTGGCTTACAGAGTAATATGACTAGAATACAGACTCTGCCCTCAAAGTGCTTGCAAACTAATTTCTGACATAAATAAATAGATAAACAGATAAATAAATAGATAAATAGAATACAGACTCTGCTCTTAAAGTGTTTGCAAACTAATTTCTGTCAGTTTTGGAAGAGGGACAGGTGGAAAATTCAGGGAGAGACGCAAACAGCCATATATATGCCAATGGAGTTACATGAAGCTAAGGGCTTGGCCTCATGGCTTGGCTGGAGTGGGCTAAATAGGGTCACTGGGAGGTCCGATATACCATTTGGTATAATTCTCATGGAGGGGCTGAGGAAGTGAAAAAATCTTTTAAAAATGTATTAGAGCAACACACGTATGCTGGATCACTTTTTTTAAAAAAGACAAATTGAAACATTCCTCCCAGAAACTGGAAGAAAAAGGAGGGGGCAATGAGGGGGATTTTTGTTTGCTTTTTTCCTTGAAGGTCTGGCAGAGAGCCTGACTGCAGGGAGCAATCCTACCCATGCCAAAAAAAGGAGCTCGAAAGGTGTAAGTAGGAATGCTCTGGGGACAGGCTGGTTCACGAAAACATCATCCGATCACCATCTTTCGGAGCAAATCAGTCCCATCCCTGCCACAGACCAAACAGCAGGTTCAATGCCCATGTAGTCACCCTCTAAGTTTCATTTCAAGACATAGATCAAAGGGCCAAATCATAGCTTGAAATCAGGAGGGAGGGAGGGAGAGATGAGACACTATATGGCTGTTATGGGTGGGAGTTCTAGACATATGGAATGGCAAAGATGGGAGGTTTATGTTTTTGGTTGCTTAAGTACAGTTGGAGAACTGAAAATTGTGAGGAGTGAATTGTGGAGAAAACACAGCAGAGGAAATGTGCAAAGAATGTAAGGTAAGGAAGAAGCAGATATGAAATCAGAAAAAGGATGTAAAAGAAGGCTTCCTAGGGACTCAGTGGCAGATTATCTATACAGGAATGGCAAAGATGGGAGGTTTATGTTTTTTGTTGCTTAAGGGACTCAGTGGCTGATTATCTATACTCCTTTAGGCAGGAACTGGCAACTTGTAGCTCCATAGATGTCACTGGATTCAATTTCCATTCACCTTAGCTAGCACAGCTGATTGTGTGG